AAAAAAAATTTTTTCCATTAAAAAACTACTATCTATAGATGTTAAAAAAAAAAAAAAAATGTTTTCAAGGATTCTCAATAGCGGTATTTTGCCTAGTTGAAATCAATCGACGAGAGATGTACGAGGTCCCTATAATTCGTTACGTGCGATCGACCTTCGACTCATCGAGTGGCTTCGCTGATCGTCAATTTGGCTGACGTGTTCGGCTCGATGTATGCTGTTTTATTAAATCGATCAGCAAACGTATCCTCCCTTTTCGTCTTCGATTTCCGCGCGACGTTGCCGTCTTTTTCTTCTGAATCATTGTCTATTATCTTTCGTCTTGAGTCATCATCAGAGACAATACGATTTCAAGATTAAAATTCATATATTTTTAACATATATATATTCTTCAATTGTAATTACATGTTTAAGAAAAAGAATACGGAGAGCTAATTTTAAGTTAGAAAATCCGCTCTTTGAGTAATTTTAAAACGATGAATAAATTAACTTGAAAAAAAGAAAGTGCCACGAGAGTTCTAAAAAACATTTTTATTACTTCGTTTAGGATATGATAAGAAATAAACAAATATTACACACAAATAACCAGACATATATATATATATATATATATATAAATAATACAAAATCTTAATCCCAGGTCTGAGCTATAAGAAGGAAGCCAGAAGGATTGCGCTTCGTCCTGAGTTAATTAAAAGATTTCTCATCCTCCGTCGATCATCTTCCTCGATCAAAGAAAATAAGAGAGGCTCTTGATATTAATTGACACTTGGAAAAAACTAGTAACCCAAAGCTAAAAACGAAGAAACGAAAAAAAAAAAAAAAAAGGCCCGATATCCAACGAAACAACGTAACAAAAGAAGAGAGAAGGGAGAAGGGAAAAATGAAAAGGGAGAGGGAGAGGGGAAATAGTGAAATGGTTGCATGTAGTGTGTGTATTTGATCGTCGCGTAGTTGGAATTAAAAGCTTCGACATAGAACAAGAAGCGAGAAAGAGAAAGACAGGAAGGCTAACTGTGCGCGAGCCGCGGGGAATGGGGGCGCGGGAGATGCGTCACCGGGGAGGTGGTGGCTACCACCCTCGCCCTCCGTGGCTCTTTTGAAGGTCAAGGTTTCCCGCCCCTCTCTGTCCACATACGTATACGTATACGTATGTGTACGTGTGTATGTGACGGGCAAGAGGATTACGAGGGGGTGAGGAGGGAGGTTGCAGGCGTAGAAGTGTTGGTGAACAAGGACGAGGCGAGGGGTAGATCGGAGTATGCGTGGGTGGCCGGGGGTGTGTGCCAGGGGTGGCGAGAGCCCGGTGCCCAGTATTTATAGCGCTTGCGAACCGGTCGATAGCGGATAGCGACACTGCGCAGTTGGGAAGCCCTCGTACCGAACTCGAAACCCCCTTCCCACCGCGCCTACTCTCTCCATTCTGTCCTTGTCCCTCGCTATCTCTCTCAGAGCCTAGCTTCGCCACCCTGCGTTCACCCTTTACCCGACCTCTTACTTGCTCGGCCACCCCTTTCGTATCAAGGCTTTTTCCTCCCTCTTTCTTGTGTATACATTTTCCATCTTCCTTTTTTTTTTTCCTTTTTTTCCTTTTTTTTCTCTCTCTCTCTCTCTTTCTCTCTCTCGCCTCTATGTTCTGTTCTATCAATCTTCCCTCTTTAAACTTAATTTTTTTTTTTTTCCGGTAATATCATCGCAATAGGCGAACAGAGAAAGGGAAAAAGAGAGAAGATTTTCCTCCGGGATATTAGTCATGGATATATAACGCGGTGGGATGTACCGCTCCGGGGGACGCGGAATGGTCGATATTGATATTGATTGGAAGTTTTTAACGGCCGAGAGTTTAGAAGTTGCGCCTTACCGAGCGTCACGGAGAGAAATCGCCATGGAGATCATGTTTCGTCCGATGGATCGGGCAATCGCGTGACCAAGCCGAATGTTTTCAGGTTTCCTCGCTAAATTATCTCGGTTAGATCTATTCTCTTTATCTGGAGTATTTTTTCAGTCCGAAATTGAGAACCTTCTAGTTCCTTTTTTCCCTTCATTTCATAACGGCCAGTGTCCAGGATGAACAAAGATATTACACTTATGAAAACATCGTTCGCGCACTTGCAAATGGGCGTCTCTTAAGCGACGTGTAGTGTATCGTCTGTTTTATGCGCATCCTAAGTATAGGAAGCTCCAGTCTATTTTCGCGGTAATTCATGATATACGCTATCGGAAAGTAAGCGTTGACTGATGGCGCTAAATAAAGCCGACGGATTATCGAGTGCAAGACTATTATAAGTATCATTCGACACGTTTGTGCACATTCATTGGTGGAAAAAAAATAGTTAATGGACTTAGCGGAGTGGACTTAAATAATATTAACAAATTAATAACCCCAATTTATAAACTTTTTTTTTTTTTTTTTGTAAAAAGTTGAACGTGTAATTCTTCAAAATAATTTGATATCCGAATAGTATAATAATCGAAATTCATTTGTACTTAAAATTATTTTTTTAAAAAATTAGTATTAAACGTACTTCATTCGAAGATTTATTAACCTAACTGTATTTATAAAATATTCACGTTGATTTTCCACGAATAAGCCTAGAAGTGAGAAATTGGTTAAGGACAATTGAAGAAATAAAAAAGGAATAGATAAGAAAAAAGTCGAAGCTAATGGAAAAAGAAAAACAGGAATCTCGACAGACGGAAAAGCGAGAGAAAGAAAAAAAAAAAAAGAGATGAGTGTATCGTTAGATAAAGAAACTTGTCTGGGGAAAAAAGCACGAGAAAGCGAAATATTAACGTATGTACCTGCTACAGAAAGCAGGAAGGAGAAAGATGAAACGGAATGGTGGAAGATGACGAAACAGAGGTAGAGTATGAGTGAAACAACGAAGAGGAGAAAAGGGAGGTCAGAGGGTTGCCGAGCACCGCCCCTATCATGGTGGGGGTGGATCTATTGCCATCTTCGTCCGACATGCCAGGAGGGTTGGTATCCCTACTCGTCGCCTTCACCATGAACCAGGAAAAGACAGTCTTTCAAGGGGAAGAATAGACAAGGATAAGCGAAGCGTGGGCGTTTCTATAGAGGAAGATGGAAGCTGCTTAACACGAGAGAGAGGCAAGATGGTTGGTGATCGGTGGCTAGATAGGAAAAAGAGGGATAGAGAGTGAAAAGAGGGTGTAAGAGAGACAATGGAGAGAGGGGAAGGTTCCGTGCGTTTCGTTGGAGAACTCTAACTACCGGCCGACCGTAAAGGTCGTCGTTGCGTTTCTCTCTCTCTCTCTCTCTCTCTCTCTCTCTCTCTCTCTCTCTACTCCCCCCTCTTCTCGCTTCTCTTTTTCCTATCCGTGGTCGTTTTCCATCGAGTCGCCGCGTCCTTTAACGACGAACCAGCTGGTGGCGACCGTTAGCGACGTGCTGCTGGGATTCAGTACGTCGTGTACTGCTCTCCACGAGGTGCACCAAGTGTTACCGGTTGAGATTTTCCTTTCACGGAAGTATAGTAGTATCGCTTCGAGATCGTTGAAAGTGTATCGAAACGATAGTGGTTAGGATGAATGGAGAATGAACAGAATCGGAAGGAAGAAATCGGTTAGGAAGAAAAACGGTTTAAGAGAGAAGATTGAGGAGAAAAATTGGAATCGCGTTCCATGGGAACGCGGCAATCTTGTGGGAAATGTGCCATTTTCTATCTTTCTCTGGTGGCAAGAAAATTTAAAGGGATCTGGCGAGAGGATGTGGCGGGAGGGGTTAGGACTATGTGTTGGGGCGGTGAAGGTGAGAGGGCAGTTAAAGGATGAAATAGAGTGGGAAGTAGGGATGACGGGGAAATTGAGTCTGTTTCCTTGTATCCCGTTCGCCGAGCCCCGTGCCATTAGTTGACCATGAAGGCGTATGGTTGCGTATCTCTCTCCCTATGGGGAGACCAGCTGACAGATCCGTTCAAGTGAAACAAATTTGCCACGTCGATTTTTATTTCGAGTGAACGTCGTCGAGTGTTCGTCGTCGATTTATTGTACATTTAAATGTAATTAACAACGAAAATATAACGGTAATAATCATCGTTCGCGAAGAAAAAAAAAAGGAAGGCGAGCGGAAACGAGGCAAGCTACAACAAAACGGAGAGAGAAAAAAAAAAAAGAACACTTCTTAATTGCGAGAAGACGAGATGGATATTTTTAACGAATTTTTTATTAATACCGGTTCCACCTGGGCACCGTATTATTAAGTCCAATTAGCCGACACAAAAGTGGAAAAATCCTGGTCTCAACGATCTTTTTTATTAGTATCGCACAAAGGAAGGAGCGCAACCCCTGTCGTTTCGGTATTTAAAGAAACATACGTATATTTCACCGAGCGAGAAAAGGATAAATAAGTATTATTTTGGGGAGGAAAGAGGATGACGAAGATTTCTCGGAACGTGTGTGGGAGTATATATATCCCTATCCGATGGCGGGGAGTTCGCCAGGACCAGCCAGCGAAAACCACCCCTCTCACCCCTTTCCAGGAGAGAAACGAAAACATAGAGGGAGCTAGAGTGCGACAGGTGGAGAACAAGGATGGGATGCTAGCACAGAGGGGAGGAGGACTGAGCATTTCGGGGTAGCGAAGGAGAAGGAGAGAGGCAGCTAGTTGTGTGACGAGCAAGAGAGCGATAAAGAGGAGGCGATGAAGAAGGGCGGCTGGTGATCGGCGGGCGAGAGGGGAAAAGTTAGAGGGTGAGAGTTAGGGCGGCGGAGTGGGGGAATAGAGGCAGGTTCCGTGCGTTTCGTTGGAGAACTCGTACCACTGGGTGACCGTAAAGGTCGTCGTTGCTCTCTCTCTCTCTCTCTCTCCATCGGTACATAGAAGTCTAGCAGCTGGCAGCAACGTCAGCAACGAGGAACGGATCAGTCCACCGTGTGCCAGCCTCGAGGTCCGTGTCTTCTTTCTCTCTCTTCTCTCTTCTCTCTCTTTCACTCTTTCTCTCTTTCTCTCCCTTCCCCCCCCTCTCTCTCTCTCTCTTTCTCTCTCTTTCTCTCTTTCTCTCTCTTTCTCTCTTTCTCTCTTTCTGTCTGGATCTTTTGATCATCGTTCGCGATGTGGAAAGTCTTGCTTCGAATAATAATAACGATAGAATTATCAATATCATACATGATTTTCGAAATCGAGTACGTTTTATTTATCTTATTATTTCTTACTTTTCCACTTTATTATTCGTTTATTTTTCACCGTGTCACAAACAAGTATTTGAAGTTCTTTCCGAGAAGAAGGATGAAACGAAAGGAAATATACACGAAGAAAATTCACAAGATACCGTTTGAGAATTGAGAAGTTGAAGGGTGTTACGTGATTAGGATTCGATCACAAGACGTTTGGATGAATGATGCAAAGATTGATATATAAAGCAAGGGGATCCGGAAAAAAAGTATTTAAAGGAAATCAGCTGGCAAAGTGACGGGGGCGGCCATCGTTCACGCGATCATGGAATTACAATCGAAGATTGACCACGGCGATTACCGTGAGTAATTGGAGGAAATTAGATTCCGTAGAAATCGATCGTGTAGACGGGGAAATATGTTGCCCTTTTAATCGTTGGTTTCGAATCAAACGACTGATTCGTTATTTCATACGATGCTTATAAGTGTTGTACAGTTCTGCTAGATGTTAATCAATTTCTTGATCATTAGAGGCATGTAGATTGTGAATGATATATATGTATAAAAGTATACATGTTTGCGTTATTTTTATCTCGATGAGATCTGCTGCAATTTCGATAGTCTGTTTTTTTTTTTTTTTTTTTTTTTTATTATCCGGTTATCATCCACTCACGTTCTTAACCTCTGATTTTGTTTGACATGTCTTCTGATGTTACACAACCTGAAAATGGGAATTAAGTGTGTAAATATAAAACGTGCCGCCGTTGACGGGTATTTGCGTTCTATCGTCTTCACGTTTTTGCTTCCCTTTTCCGTCTGATCATGCTCCTTCCTTCCCGTTTTCATCGATCTCGTGACGTCTCAAGATCGTTTAATTCTTCGTTAATATCAATGTGCAGTGTTTCTCATTGTTCCGTTATCCGTGAAATAATTGCTTATCGGTGGAATTAATATCAAAAAATCGCGAAAAGATATCAAGATACGCGAAAAAGAAACATTTCAGATGACTTTTAAGCCAAATTTCTGCGAAGAAGTTTCGTAAAAAAAAATTATTCGTATTCAGTATTGGATAAAGTTTCTATTCCCTCGATGCACGCGGCAAGATTGAAGTCACGTTTTTAGCAAAACGATTGGCGAATGTAGAACTTTGCACGCTTTACACGTATCGCGTTTTTTACTTAAAAATAAATAACGAGAAGTAACGAGAATAATTGCGCGAGCTAGTCTATCGTCGAACGTTTTACGAGCTTGTCGACCAAGCGAATCGTGTGCATAATATTGCATACTTAAAATGTACACTGAGTCACGTAGACGAAAGACATTTCATTAATTCACGCAAATTCGATGTGAACAATGAGATACATACAAATTAGGCCCATCCCTGAACAATTTCTCGTACGAGCATATTGATGGCCAAGTACCGTTCGCCAACCACGAAATAATAACTAAAAATCAATGTATTCTTTTAAGAAATAACAAAGAAAAATATTGTTCAATTTTTAAATATTTTATATTTCGTATATATAAAAAAATTACTTTATATATTTAGAAATATTCGTTGAAAATAATCTTTTTAATGTTATAAAATTGACATTTTTTTTAACTCAACCTATTCACAATGTTACCGTTGTGATGCAATTTCATTTCGGTGGATGTCTGTTATTTCATGCCTTACTACTGAATTATAGTGTCGTATTACCGCCCTCTATTCCCGGTTACGTTCCACGGTTTATATTTGACATGTGTAATCTAAGAAAATCGTCATTCTGATCGAGATCGCAAAGAAGTTCAAAAGTATGTTTGAAATTGCCGCGTCACGCGGACAGGTCCATTGCAATCATCGCCACGATGATGCAGTTGAGATCTTATTGGTCGATTCCCTACAGCAATGGCGTAGGGAATATGAGGTGCCTCATACAAGGACGAATTATGCAATTGGAACGAGATACGGTTCACCGTCACTAATAACAAATTATTGTTTGAGTGCGAACGAAAATCAGGTGACTCGGAGTGATATATTGAAGTATCTGTTCTCATAATACAATATAACGTCGAATGTAACTTCACGTTGGTAGTTTCAAGGACAGTTTGTTTACAAATTGTAGATCGTAATTCAAGACAGACGGATAATTGATCTGTGTATGATATAATTGAGTTTCCGGTATTTTTTTTTAATTATACTGATCTTAAATTTGAATTTCGTTAAATTTTATATGGAAAATTAATTTAATGTCACCAGAAAATAAATCAATATAATAAAATAAAAGCAAAAAACAATATTTCAATTGATTGAAAAGAAAATATGTTCAAACATGAAATTTTTGATATATTTACAAAAAGAAAAAATGCAAAAAAAACAGAAACAAAAATATAAGTTTCTCCTCGGCAATTATATACCTACCGCAAGCTTACGTGTTCAAACTAGCCACAAGTGCACATGTGAGAGAAAATGCATTCGCACACATACGTATTTATACGTAGTTATACGTATTCTCTAATGAATGTTCAAGCCCTCCTCGTCGCCTATATGGGCGAGTTTCGCGAGTGTCGGATCGACGATAAATTCGTATCGTGAATCAAATGCGATTGGTTGGCTGACAGTGACGTCAAACGGCCGGTGGGCAGCCGTCAAGTGGCACGACTGCGTCGCGTTCGTCGGAGATGTGTAAAAATTCGCTTCCTTTTTTCCCCTTCTCTCTTCTTTTCCAATAACTCCATAATCGGAACCTCCCGACTACTACCACAACGACGACGAATTTACCAAAGACTATGAGTCATCTATGGCTGAAGCATCCGTCGCGTGATGTTTTACCTTTTTTTTTTTTTTTTACGCGACATAATATAACGAATGTTTCCTCTCGTTAGAATTAATTGGATTCCGCGTCTCTTATGTATAAAATTTGTTGCTTGATTTGTTGCGTGTATTGATAATATATGTTATATGCGCGTAATACCTAGCGATGACAATTCTTTTTTTATTTCTTTTTTTCGGTTTTTTCCTTGACTGGATGGCGATCGATGATGATGGGTGGTGGTTACAGTGAGCAGGCTCCATTGCGAATCCGAGTCCTTCAAAATGGACTTAATCCTGGACATCAACAGCTGGCTGTATCCTATGGAACTTGGTGAGTGTTCTTCAATGATTTTTTTATATATTAAAATATATATTAATTTAAGAATAATTATGAATATTATCAATAATAGATTAAATATTAATAATTTTATTAATAATTTCAAAAATAATTAATATTCCTTTAGATAATTTCAATAACTTTAATGAAATTATAAAGTTTTTATTGAAAATATATGTGGTAAGGACTTTGCTCGTATGTAGATGTAATTTAATTTTTTTTAAATTTAATAATTTTAATCTAATAAATCTAATAATCTAATAAAGCAACTTCATATCGTATCAAATAAAGCACTTATAATTCTCTGATAGATAAGAATTTATTTTACGTAATTTTAATTTTACATAAAATCATATAGATTTGAATTTATCTGAATTAAAAATTTTAATACGATAAAAGGTAAAGATTTTTCAAAATTTTATATCGAATCGTTTTAATGAATGTTATTTTTTGAATTGTCTTCTTATAATAAAATTTAAATTGTAATTTTCACTTGACAATGTTGTCGAAAGGAAAATGTAATTAAACAATGTCTGATGAAGGGATAACTTAGCGTGCATGAAAATTTTGTTTGCTATAGTACAGAGGCGCTGTCAGGGTCTTGGGCGTTTGTTTACATCGCGCGCGGCTCGCAACTTCGTGTGTATACACTTGTTCTATACAGTTACGATCTGGAAATGCTACAAAATAAATATGTAGTTTATTATTTCTTATAATTCAACATACGGTTTAAAATTTTCATTATCTTCGTTAGATATTTTAGATATACATTACTTAGTAGATATACTATCCATGCATAAAAAAGATTACAAGTAAAAAAAATATGCCTACCTAATATCTCTATTTTACATTACATATATTTTCGTAATTTTAAAATGGTCATATTTACAATCGAATCACTTGATAAAGAATCAAGTGTGACACAAAACAGAATGATGATTTATGATACATATTAGTATAAATTAATTATATAAGCAATATTAACTATTGACAAAATGTGTCTTATAGTTTACAAAAATTCTATTACTGTCAATAGTATGCTCAGACGTAAAAATTCTTCGTTTCCTCTCTGCAATTTCACTTACTTGGACCAATAGTACATTATTGTTGTTACGATTAATACAACATTTATTAATATGAATCATATTTATAATAATATTATGATAAAATTGAATTATATCTATATAGTTGATAACTTAAGCTTATCATTAGTTCATATAATAAATAAAAAATTTGTAATGACATCATTTTAAATAAGAGAAACATAATTTAATACGTTGTTTTTTTTATCCACTATTATATTTTTTATCCATGGCTTAATTTTAATCGAAATAGAAATGATATCAATAATGAAAACGATCAGCAATAATTGCTAATATCTAGACATAGATCAAACATTTGATAAATAAATGAGGATAAAATATATTTGATTGTTATTTCGCATAGGATTATATTATGCGACATTCTTCGTTATATTTGTCTATTTTAATTTCGAAGATCAATATATATATATACAGGAAATCGCGAATTTCGAAACGTAGAATAAGATATATCATATATGAAAATTGTTCAAAAAGTAGGCAAAAGAATGATAAATTTGACAATTGCCATGATATTTAGGAATTTCTATTTTTCTTCTTGAGCAAATTTCGAATACCATCGCTTTATAATTGTAAGAAATATAAGAATCGTTGAAATTTTTCTATATTTCATTCTTTTATTATTATATTTTTTGAAATAAATTAATTATAAAAATTAGAAAGTAAATAGAAAGCAAATATTTTAACATGAAAAACTAAATCGAAAGAATCAATATACACACACAATAACACATCATCTTTGACCCTTTGGTAAATGCGACACGTGTTCCTCACTAATAGAGACACGTGCTGTATCATGTTTGTTTTTTTATTCTCATGGTTCTTCTACTTCTTGGTTAGACATACGAAGGACAACCTTGGCTAATGGACACTGGTGAAACGTGTTCTGCACAGCTCAAAGCAACTTACTGTTGGTTACTATGTACTTATATATGTCTAACTTTCAAGGTGACTTCAATCGCCTTTTTTTGTGCCAATGAACTGTTCTCTGACGAACTTAGATACGTGAGTCATTCGTTTTCGAAGATGTAGGTACAATATATTTTTCTCTCTTTTTGAAAACAGCAATATTTTCTATCATATTTAATTTAGATCTATAACATTGTTCTTTTGTAAATTTCATATCTTTGAAAAAATTGTTAAAACTTATGTCAACGTAACTTTTTTTATAAATTGATGCTAAAAATTGGTTAGTTAATGTTTGTACTACTACTATTCATCCGTAACTGTAATTAATGGAAGCAGGAATATAAAGAAAAAATATTTGTTGATTATTAAAGTATAGTAATAAATGTATATAACAATTAGATTATTAGACAATTTTTTAATTATTTTTAAATTAGAATAAACTTATCTTCAGTTAAGAAAAATTAGTTAAGATAGATAGATGAAAAAAATAGCATTCGTGATATATTAGATTCATAAATGTGCCCAAGGCCACGTCACGCTGCAGCAAACTCCCAACCCCCCACCCTTCAAATATCGTCATTTTGACTCGTCTCACGAACAGTTCTGGATGTATCTCGTTGATTCGGGCGCTGCAGAGGGAGTGGGTGCGTCACACCCACTAATAGTAAGGGTGGGAGAAAGAGGTGGGGTACACCGCATCGTCGATCCACCCCTGCTTGCTTACTATGTTTACAGATTCATATCCTGTTTTTGCTACTTTGAAGATTCTCTTCTGTCTTTATCCTCCCACAAGTTTTAATATCGCGTAGTTTGATTTTATCTCTTCCTCTTATCGTTTCGTAATATTATTCTACTTCCTATCATTTACCAAAAAATAAACATTGTAAAAACTACAAATATATTCAGAATCATTTCAAATATTTCATAAAAAATAAAAATTTAGTAGACATAATATAATTTATAATCTAATCTAAATCTATTATAAAAAAGAATCGAGATCACCGGTTTACCGTTGGCAAGGAGCAGAGGCGGGATGGATTTTGCAGGAAGGAGCTTGTCGATCGTGCAGAATAAAGTGAGATAGAATTGCGTTTGGGAAGGGGAACGAAGGTTAGTCCATAGGGCCAGGCAGTCCCGCTGTATTGACGCGCGGCGCACAGGCTTGCGCGAGATGACGCAATCTCCCTCCCATGCGCCCGGCTTTGCTCGTACCACGTTCTACTCCCCTCTCTTCGTCCCGTTCGCTCGTGTTTCACTCCTCTCTCCTACCTCACCCGGCAGCTCCCATAAGTTCAATGCCAAGGTCAAAACGTCCACGACTCGTAGCCGTGTCGGTCGCGATACTCGTTCGCTGGGAGAAGAAATAGCTGTGTGTGTGTCTGTGTTCTCTCTCTGATCGTATGCTTATTTGCTGGTATCGCTCATCCATCGTCGTGGTCATCATCGTTGTGTCGTTTCATCGTGTATTCACATTTACCTTCCTGTCGCGTATCGCGCGCGCTTTTTCTACCGGTTTCTTCGCTGATGCGCGTTACGTGCCATGATTTTGTACATGTACACGCAGTTTCGTTTCGCGTCGCGCGACTAACCTACATTACACGACGTACGGACATGTTGAATTACGCCAAGTTAAAATGTGTGTTATGATTGTGTCGAATACAAGCATCGAAAAAGAAATGAAATATTGCAAATAAATCGAAGTTAATGTAAATGTCATATGCAGTTATTCAAGAAATATCTTAAGTTGTGACTGTAACTGTGTTCTGAAATCATTTTGAGACAAATCATAATGTAAATGTGTGAATATTGAAATGTAGAACAAAGTAGAATGTCCTACGCGACAAATACGGATGCGCATCATGTGAAGAATGGATATAAACTATCGTTAAGTTCTTTCTTTCTCTTGTCTGTGGTTGACGTCGTGAGACAAGATGGCGGTTTTCGATAGACCCCGGAACATGTTAAGCTCAGTTCATGGGGGTGGTTAATGTTTTTTGAATGTGTTACATAATATTTTTAGCTTTTATTCTTTTTACGTGAAACAGAATTTTACTTAAACATTTATTCATAATGTATTACAACATAATTTTGTGTGCCATATTTTTTCTTATATATATATATATATATATATATATATATATCATATTGATGTTTCAAATAGAATCAAATATTTATAACACAGTGTAATTAATAAGTTTAGACTTTGAAAGCTTGCATTCTACGGATGTCTAAATTTAATATAAAGTGTTAATATATCCCTCTAATGTGAGCAAATTAACGATGTGTGTTGCCGTCAGTGTCAAGGTTAATGCTGTAAATCACACGAGCCCATATCCTTTACCGGGTTCGTATTGGTTAATATGACTGGGGCTGATAATATGATCCTGTATCATTCAACTAGATAATCTATAATCGTTATGCTATTATCGTGATGTAAGCCTGACCCCATATACGTCTCGTAACATGATCAATTGGTCATGCAGATTTTTCCAGCTTCGTTTTCATTCGTCTTTATATTCCCCTCGACATTGCCACCGCCGGTAATATCGATTACCATACTATATGTATCATCGACACAGCATAGACTTTTAACCTTGACCCTTGTTCTCCAGGAATGGTAACCACTCTTATATGAGGGTTTCTTAATGTTTTATCTTTTAGTTGAATAGATCTATATAGGGTTCTTTTTAATGTGCTAATGTGTTTAATATAATTGTATCGATAATATAATATCATTTGTCTTTTTCACTTAGTCTCCTAGTTTCCTATATCGCTAATAGTTCTGTCATTTATAAATTAAACTTTTCTTATATATTTTATGTTTCTTCTTTTCGATTTTTTTTCTTTTCGTTTTTTCATTCTTTTTCTTGTATTAATATTTGATAATTTGTTTAATATAAGAATAATTTAATATTATGATATATATTTGTTTTCAGAATCAAATTTATTTTTATATATTCTCAATGTATATTTTATATATTCATTTCATTTGCTTTTTGAAGCGCAATATTTTATGTAATCGGAACTATATTTATAAAAATTTTTTATGTTGTTTGATTATTTTTATTTCTACTAATTTAAATCTCAATTTTATAATTTTCTTAGAATTACTTTATTCTTTGCATAATGAGTGGCATAATGCATATAATTGATGTGATATATTGCAGTTTTCGTGTTTTTTGAATGTAACGTATCGTGTCACGTATATTATAATAAAAAAGAAAAACGTTGATTGTTTCTTGTGTTTTCATTGTGCGCACATGTATGTGTATCTAAGAGTTGGTGAAAATAGCAAAATGAAGATACGATAATTCTATTGGTTTAGATGCAATCAACCGTGAATTTCGTTGGAAACGTGACGAAACGTTTGCAACGCCCCCAGTGTATTTTTGATGCAGTTGCCTTGAGATTTATTATTAGATATCAATTTCCGTGTTCCGACATTGCAGATTTTTTCGTATTGACATTTAAACAAAGATAAAAAAATTTCAATGTTTTTATATTTTTTTCTAATTTATCCTTTGAAGAGTAATTTTCATTATTCTGAATTCTTTTACAGGTGATAAATTTCGTCTGGTTCTGGCTACGACTTTGAGAGAGGATGGTTATCCTGATGGAGGGGAGTGGAACGCGACAGAACAGGAAGGCGGTTCCAGAGCAGACAGTTTTGAATATGTGATGTCCGGTATGGTTTATCGAATTGAAGGTGATGAAGCAAGCAATGAACCCAGCAGTAGACTGTAAGTGATTACTTTTTTCATAAAATTTGATTTTTTTTTAATTAATATCTCAGTGATACTTAATAGAATAAAATATCAAACATTTTTAAGTAATAATTTTATGAATAGTTAAACTGAATAATAAACTGAAAATACAATTAAAAATATACTATTAGTTAATAATTGATTGATTATTTAATTTGATTAAAAATATTAAAAAATATAAAAAAATTGATTGAATATGTTAAATCAGTATCGCTATTTTATTCTGTTACGGTCCACTGTAATCTCTTGGCGTATCATGCGTACATCACGCATGTATACGTCACATGCGTGACGTCATTCACACGCGTCAACGTGCGTAAACGTGCCCTCTTTTTCCTGTGATCTCTGATTGGCTCGCTTCCAGTGCTCAATGAAGTTCTAAGAGAGTTTTGAAACTACCGAAAACCATAAAGCGTTTTTCGGTAATGTAAAAAAAAAAAAAAAAAAAAAATAAATGCATTAATACTATATCTATCGCATCTATCGCATTAAAAAGCATAAGCGTTTAATAATAACTTATATCTAACTAACTTATATCTTAACAACTAATTTATATTAAAACGTAAAAATTATTAAGGAAATATAATGACAAATTATTTTGCAATAATGAAATGTACGATTCTTGGAATTTTGCGAATATATATAATATTGTAAATTTAAAATATTAATTTTTAATGAATATATAATTACATTCTATTTTGTCTAGTTATTTTATAAATAACAATTCTTGACCGGACTGTTAGATGAAAGCTGTATCGTGGAAGATACTGTTCTGTGATAACCCTGATTTAATTAACTTATCGTTTAACCTTGAAAGTTTACTACTGCAATATATATGCTGCAAAAGCCACTTTGATGTCTGATCGGTACCGGTCCCATCGTAAATTGTGCGCGCGAACTCTATCCGTTTTTGTATATGTGTTTGAAATTAATTTCTATATTGCTATGAATAGAAGAATGCAGCGTAGCTGACGTTCGATAAGATAAGCAAATCTGCGATATTATGCTTAAAGGAATTTTAAATCATTTATAAAGATTATATATAATTATTTTATTATATTAAGTGCATATTTATATTTATCCTGTATTTTTTCATTTTAATTATTTATATATTTTTTCTTTTAAAGTTTATTGAACACGAGAAAAATGAACAGGAGTTGTTTATATAAAAAATCAAATAAGTTGATATATGAAAATTAAATAATTGAACTTTGAATTTAAATATTATATTAAAATTTTTTAGATAAAATATTAATGGTAACTATCATAATAATATTTTAATGACAAAAGTTTGGTTAAGAATCGAAAAAAGTTATTTTTTTGTTGATGAAAAATTAAAATACTTGTTTTATCTTCGAAAATAGTAGCAGTTGATCAATTTAGAATTGAATTTACAATTATTCGATATTGTAAGATTTTTCCTCATTTTTTATATCTCATTGTTGTATGCAGTGATTTGTTTATAATTTTTATACATGTTTACTTATTATTGCCAGATTTTTATCGTATTCAATATTTATTTTCGAATTTTCAAAAATAAATTCCCAAAGTTTGCCATATTTTTTTTTTTATATGTATCAAATATTTATTTATTTAGAATTTTTCAAGTTTTTTTTTTTGATATTATTTCGGCAGAAATAAAATGTGTAATTCTTATGAGAAAATTATTTATAAGGAAAGGAATGAATTTTGATATATTCATATATTTAATTGATGACACAATACTGGAATAATATGAATATTATTGATATAATGATGAATAGGAACTGAACATTAATAAGAAACGAATTCCCTCGAATCTTATTTTTAAAAAGCATCGAGGAAAGACAATCCATAAAAAGATACAATTATCATTTAACCCATTCGGTCGGTAAAAGCGAAACGGAAATGGTGAAACGGGCTCTCGGAGAACAGGGAGCCACTCTGCGTTCACTCGGTGGGTAATGAAGCGGGTGAACACAGCTGGTGGTATCTCAGTTTTCTGAGGGCGTTAGCAACCCATTGATTTACCTGCTGATTCCCTATGATGATTTTATGGAAGAAAAATGTGATAAAGTAATAACAAAATCATAAAAAATATTAAGGAAAAAAATATAAAATTCTATTTAGTATTTATAAAATTATATAATTATTCTGTACTTAGAAATTTATGAATTTCAAATTATAATAAATGCTATTCTCATTTTAAATAATTTGATATTATGAATTATAAAAGTGGTTTAAATATTTACATTATCATATAGATTATATATCGATATTATTTATTCGATAAGCAATAGAACAATATAGATATAGTTATAGATAAGCAAAGCTAAGAATTATTCGGATATTTTATAATACAACTGGTTTTAAATCCAAATTCATTGCGATACGTCGCTATATGATATCATCAGTCTATTAAATAGGGGCGTGACAGGTGGGAAATGAATTATTGATCGGGGTCACTAGAAACCCTCAAATGGATACAATTAATCCTCTATTTCGCCAAACAACGTATAAATATACTCGATGTTATCATAGTATTGGTGTGTTTCTAAAGATGAAAGTGATTTCCAGTACGACGTATTTCTTTTTAATTGAAATCTCAAGTTCAGATAAAAAGATAAGTTTCAGATAAAAAGTATTTAATAAATTAAATATTTACTATTTTAAGAAATGAAAAATTGAAATATGAAAATCGTAACCAAAATAATGATTTTATTCAAAATGCAATTAATTTCAAAAATTCATAAAAGAAGTTTTGGTTTATTTCGTAAGTGCGCATGCGCGAACGCCATAGATCGTATATTTGAAGTAGTCCATGGTGCGCGACACGCCAGGATGCGCACAAGGTCGGCCGGGCTGTCAAAATCAGCTGACTCTCGGGTGACCAATCAGCTGATTCCTTCAACTTCTCAGCAGACTTTCTTGACTTCGAAGACTTAGAGGGCGCTATCTTACGATTAGAATTCTGAGTCAATTATTTCAATTCTCTTTATTTCTTTTCATTTCTCTTTTTTTCAAAATTAATTTTTCTTAAATCAATTGCCTTTTAAACTACTATGATTATTCATTTAATTTAATTGATAGTTAAAATTTATAATTAAATTTTAATGATTGGAAAATTGATTTGAATTGAAATTTAATTATTTCTCTTAGTTAGAAAATAAAAAACTTAATAAATTTTCTTGCAAAAAGTTCATATAATTAGAAATCACATTAAAGATTTTATTATTTTATTATGCATTTATTAGATGTGTTAATTGTTAGTACTGTTTTGACATCATCATTTCCATTGTTATGATTAAATATTCTTAATAAAAAATACATATTTATCATGGAAATAAATTTAATCTCTAATAATTAAGTATTCATCGTTTAGGATGATTAAAAATAGAAATCCGAGTGACTTGAAGGACTTATCATTCATGGTGGAACAATAGCCTCATGATGTGAAAAGTACTATTCAATGCTTCGATAATTAAGCGTTATCTTTTACTGATGCATTGAAAATTCTGCGCTGGAAATAATGCATTGACGATGTATACCATAGTTTCTGTTATCTACAATGCAAGCAGTAACGCACGTATATAGTATATGTACATTCACTGTTTTGATAATTATATCACGATAGTGTAATTGGAATAATTGCTTCGCGTTATTCTGATTAAATCTTAATGAACTCTCAGTTTCTCTGTCTGTGATCAGCTTATGACAATCAATAAATAAAATAACTAAAATAGATTATGTTTGTCAAGTAATAATTGTTTTTGAATTGAATCAAAATTTTCTGATTTTAAAATGTTATTATAGATTTTTTTCTGATGCTTTTTATAATACAAATAGATCCAAAATTGAGAAAAATTGAGCAAATTTTAATTCTTCTATTGTATAAAAATTTATCCAATAAAATTTATTTCATGAGATTTATTTCATTTTATAAGAAACATAGTAAACACAACAGTATATATTTTAACAAACAAAATCAATAGTATCACAACTTTAGGTAGACTATTCTAAATTCAAGGTTTCTGCACCTAAAAGGTTTTAATGCATTGTATATATCCTACTACAATTCTAGTCTATCTATAAAACACAGGGTCGACTTACAAATCATTGAATCCATGAATCCCCAAAAATATCAAGATAATAATTAGGCATTAAGTATAATTCGAAACAGTAATTTGATATTTATAATGGAAATAAAGTATTCATTTTTTTTAAAATATTTAAAGTCTACACGTATAATAATATATTACTATTTATGTAAAATACAAATTAAAAATACATAATTCATATATACGTAATTCATATATTTAAATATTTTTAAAATCTTTTAATTAAAAATGAATAAAAATCAATATTCAAAATAAATAAAACAAGTATTTTTCAAGTCATAAATTCGCAAATGAATTTTATAGCCTGACTTTCAAGGTATATTTATATTTTTCTGTAGTATATTCGATTACAACTATCGTATCACTCATTATCACAGTTATTTTAATTTACGATTTCATTATGTGTCGCATCTATCAATTATGTTCGATATACATCGAAGTAAAGTCGCTATAATTTCAAAATTCTGAGGACATATAAAAAAATTATTAATTTTATTCCCATGTATTTTTACAATACTTTATAAAATTTTCTTCATTATCATATAAAATTGATATCAATTAATTCTTATCCTTAACAATTTAACTTATTAACAATTTTATTCTAATTTTTGAAAAAACATAACAAATGTCTTAAAATTTTTGAACGGTACTGTGTATAGATCTAGCGGATTTTTCATAGTATATATGCATAGAATAGAGAATCAAAGTGAATATATTTGTCCTGATGTTGTAAATATATCCGCGCAACTTGGCGGAAAATTTAACCGCCACGTCATTCGAAGTTGCGTTCCGAGAAAACTCGCGCGAGCGCGGCAAAGAGGGAGTGCGACGAACGCTGTAAAAACGTCGCGTTGCGGCTCGTGAAAAAGGGTGGTCAAG